AGAGTACAAGGCAGAGAGCATCCAGGCCGCAAAGGTGTTCCGGTGGCAAAAAGACTCTCGCCTACAAGACAGCAGCGAGGATGAGGAGGACGAAGAGGAAGTGCAGCAGGAGGAAAGCGGCGCGGCGCCTAAAAACACAACGTGAGAATGAAACGCCACTTTTTTTCTTTTCCTGTCAAGTGCAGATGGGTCAGGCCGGTATAAATGTGAGTCTAATATGAAACCATGTTTGGAACATCTTTCAAGTTGACAACTCATGCCAAGTGGAAAAAAAAAGAGATGTTTTTGTCCACAGAGAGGAAATGGTTTCATCCTCAAACAATTTCTTCTTCTTTCGCATTGATGACAGCAGATTGTCAGGTAACGTGTTTATTTTTTGTGCGTTTTCGTTTGTTGTGTAACATGCGTATCAACATTTCCTCTTGTTGCGTTCGCGCCATGTTGAACTTTTGGACGACGTGGCCGGTCAGAGGGTCCCAAGTGGTTCTGTCGCTCGTCTCAGCTGGAGGAGGAGCGAGAAGAGTGGGAGGAGCGACGGACGGAGCTCAGACAGGTGAACGGCGTTCACGTTTGAAGGCGCTCTCGCCTGGCATTGTGCATACGCTAAAAAATGTGTTTTCTCTTTCGTTTTGCGCTCAGGAGTACCGCAAGAAACACAAGGATGCCTGCAGGAAGCTCAAATCCTCACAAAAGACTTGAACGCTTTCAACTTCACACAAGATTTTGTTTTTTTGTAAATAAAAGGAATATACAACCTAATTTCAGAGAAAAGCAAATATGATTTGTCTAATAATGCATAGCTATTCATTTCTCTTCTTTTGGCGTTTCTTTTCTCAGCTGTTGTCTTCCATACCTCAACACATTTTTTGACAACCACAATGTGTCTTTGTGCCTTCAAGTATTTTCAATGACATCAGCCAAATAAATGAGGATTTGTATTTTCCCATTCTGTGTTTCGATGCATTTTTCAACATTAGGCTCAGGGATGCATAAAGAGATAGAGAAAAGGAGAAAAAGAGGGAAATGCTTGACAGAAAATCAGGTCCGAATTTACAATCAAAGAGAATCAGAATTAGCAATAACCGCGTGTGTTATTTCTTTCGAGGCCCCCAATTACTGACTACTTCCGTTTTCTGACGTAGTACTTTTATTTGGAAAGACATAACCGGAAGTTTCGCTACTTAGGAGTGTTCAATTATTGGCCCTTAACTTTTCACATCAGCACCGGGAAGGTCGTCACATTGATGGAAGTTGTATGAGAAAAAGTTCTTGTTTTTTTTTT